CCACATTTTTTTATATATATATATATATATATTTTTTTGTAAATTCTCTTTTCTAATTTCCATACATGTGATTTCAAAACGTTGTATACTTGTATGATAGCCAACACGATTTAAACAAACTAGATTTAATTTAATTATCGAATAGTTGTATTGTGGAAATTATTAGAACAACTTCGGGATTACCATTTGGATGATGATAATCAATACTATACTAATAAGAGTTTTTTCAGCGCGCATTGTCATTCATGCGATGATAGTCAATACTGTACCAATACGAGTTTTTTTAGAGTTTTGAGCACTCGCACGCTTTCAGAAAAACTTCACATGTGCCCTGATATCCAGTTCGTAAAAACTACAAACTTAAACGTGCTTGACTTGTGCGTTTAAGTTGAAAACCTTAGTATTGTACCTAAAGCAGTGAACAAGGCTATGAAAGTGACATCGCTACTTCGCTTCTCGAAAAAATTCAGCCGTGTTCTAACGTCCAATTCGTAAAAGCTCCAAATTAAACGTGCTCGACTTAGGCATTCAGGTTGAAAACTATAGTACTGGTACATAAAGCAGCGAACCAGGCTACGAAATTGACTGCCCGATTTGGTGATATTTAAGGTGAACTAGGCACGCATGCGACCTTTCGATGTGTTCGTTGAATGATCAAAATATTCGTGACGTTACCCAAGAGCGTTTGGATGAGATGACTTGGGTCTCTTCCAGCTTAACCAGTGGTCTCGTGTTCGAGTCATGGGAATGCAGCAGTGTTAAAAACTCTTGAGGGAGAGCTTTGCCGCCCTTGTGGTCCTACCCGGCTCGATTCCGGATTAGTCGGTTCCCCTGTGGATCCGGAAACCGAAAGGTCCCTGTACAAAAAATAAATAAATATTCATGGCGTTACAACTATTTTAGGGACAATTTATAAATTAACGATAGCAAAGTGATGGTCATAAAAAATAAAGAAAATGAAATAATAAGAGCATGTTTGTTTACAAAATTTTCACTAAAAATTTCATTCAACTCAAAATCTAACTCAAGTTTAACAACTTCAGTATCCTCATATTATCAATATAATAATATTAATAATATAAGTCAATCATTCCTACACATTACATTAAATCTACTTTAATTCACTATTCATCAATTCGCATAATTTTAATTAACCATCACTTCATATCATTTCTCTCCTACTTTTTACATCAAACCAACTTTGATTATTTTATATAAATATTATTTTAATATAAATCTAAAATCTCATTAATCATACCATCTTTTTCCAATTAACTCTAGTTAATAAAAAAAAAAATTCACTTTGAGTGAATGTTTTTGTACACAAAAATGCTCTCAATTTGCACACTTTTCCATTTACATTGTCTTTTTGGATCCACCTCCAACAATAAAGAATTCTCAGTTAAACAATTGCCTAGACGACACTAATGAGCAAGCAATTCACTACTACAGTAGAAGAAATATATATAAAGTAAAAGATCTTGCAGTCCAGAAACCACACCTCAACCTCATTGACCAAGAAAAAAAATAAGGTATTAATAGATTTCCAAAACAATAATCATTAAACAATCACGACCAGAAACATCACTACAAAACAAACTTTGATATCAATCAAGAAACAATACCTATGCTAAAAAGACGAAGCCTACAGAAAAGGAGAAAGAATGTCTACGTTCAAAGCACATGCTCGTGTGATTGTGTGAAACTGAAAATAACCAGACAGCGCCTAGAGATTTTCCATCGGTATGAAGTTTGCTGTTCTGCTGGTCTTTGACATCCGATGACCGATAAAAACGGACATGCACAAAGCCACTACAGAAAAGAAAAGGGAAAGGGCACTTGCAGCATCCCATGAGCTCTGTTGGGCTGCTACCTTGGTGGGCTCGGATAGGCCCGGTATGAAATCAAGAGGAATCCAATCACAGCTGATCGAATAATGTGCAGAACCATGCCATGGTTTGCCATCCATGGGGTACCAGAATGCAGCCGAAAACTTGTTTGATTTACCGATTGTGTACTGAGCATCCTATTTTCGATTGACCCATACAGTTACAGCTTGAACACGATCGATAAGAAAATAAACCTTATTCACCCATACAGAGTTCAGATATTCGAAAGTCTATTTCCACAAAAGACAATAGGAAGCCATTTTGTTTGAAGTTGCCATAGACAAAAATAATTAAGGGTTGTTAAATTCTCAGAGCATAATCCCCACAGTACGTGAGTTGGGTAAATCCTTTTGTTTAAGTTTTGACTTGATTCTGTATCAAGGTTACCTGTTGCAAACGATCCATGGTTCTCAGAGGCCTTGAAAATTCAAAATAGTATGTTCCCTTTTGACCTTCCGTTGAGTACGGACTGTCAACCTCTAAGAAACCTGTTACAGTGAAAATTACGAGAAAATATACAATGCTAACAGATGACCAGTATTCATATCCTTATACTATCCCAGTATCACACCAACAAAGCTAGGATGATCTTATCATCATGGCCAAGTACAGAAAATTCATCTGCTTAAGTACAAGGATATATGGAACCTCAAAGTTCAACAAGAATAGTCGAGATTATGTCACAGGAAACACCAAAAATAAAGAAGAAAAACAATTTTTTAATAAGCTTACCAGAGTGGTCAGTTAGGCTGCTGTGCCACCAAGATCCTTGCCAGTCATTTTGTGCACTGGTGTCATTTCCTAATTAAGAGAATAAAAACCATCAGAAAAAGGTAATTATGAGAACATAACTGCTAAAGTACTGCTCATAACTCATAAGATGATCAATATACAAGACACTGTGGCTAAACTGATCCCTTCAAGTACCTTTTCAGTAAAACTGGAATAACACTGCACAAAAGATGAAGTTATTTATACAGGGAGAGAGGAAAGAAAGAAAATTGGAAAACAAGGAAGAACCTAAGCAAAACTGAATGTTTCTGTAAACAACTGAACAAATATTCTTTCTGAAAAAGTGTGCTTCCAAAGACACTGTTATAACTTATATCTATTCATATTAAACTCACTCGGTAATTTGAAGAAAAAAAAAAAAAAGAAAAAAGAAAAAGTCTTAGCAAAAGAATGAAACTCAAATGTTCAGTTTACGGTCAACAAGGTCATATGCAGTTCAACATGCAACTCTAAACACTTATGCCACAAAGCAACAGTTAAGAACATACCAGAAGGGCTAATGCCATCAAGGTATCTGCAATGAGGATTCCACGAATACATGTCTACCAAATGGCCAAACCTGTTTGCCGGCGAATAGAACAGTGAAAATGCTAGAATTAATCAACTAAATAATCGAAGATCTACCACAATGAAGAATATAGCGTCAAACTAGCACCTGTCACCTCCATATCCTTCTCTGTTGTCAACTGGATTTCCACCATAGAGCCGTCCAGGAATGGCGTTGCCTATTGAGAAGTGCATAATGTCAACTTCATGCCCCTTGCAGGTCTTGTTTGTGCAAGAGTCTGGCCCTTCTTCACAGCCACCCATCTTATAGTACAACGAATTCTCAGTTCAATATATTGGATTAGCAATGAAATGAATACTACATCGTAAGGCCACAAAAGATGCAAAAGTGGTTTAGAAGTTACTATTGACTTACTCTGTGGTATGTTGCACTTTCACCAATTTGAAACATTAGAGCAACAGATGCACATTTGCTACTGTCTCTGCAGAAGATAGAAAAGAGAAAGATAAAGCTTAACATTCTTTCTCACAGATAAATAACCAGTTAAAAGATCCAGAAAAGACATTCAGTTCCAAAGTCACAACGCCTCCAAAATAGCAAATGAATTCCCAACAACGAGAAGTAAGCATGCCGGGGGAACGACAGTAACAATCCGTCTATATATAACATCATAATTATCATGAAAATTAAGGAAGAAATTAGCCACTTACATTTCTATAAGCTTAACCTGATTATCCCTGAAACAGCATTCACAAACTAAAGCTACAAAATAAAGTATTATCACAAGAGCAGTAACAGAACTATAAACATAAGTTAACTACTCAACTCCAACAACATTCTCCCTGCCTCAAACAATCCAAAACCATGTATTCCTATAAGCTTAACCTCACCCACTCAAATGGTACCACATACTAATGCTACAAAATACAATATTATCACAAAAGCAGTAACAGAACCATAAACATAAGTTAACCACTCAACTCCAGCAACATTCTCGGTGCATCAAACAATCTAAAACCATACAAAACCCCAAAAATAACAAACACAGACGCACACAACAAACACACGAAACTCGACCATATCCAGTCAGCTCAACATAGCTATCCAAGATTAAGGAAACCGTACCCTTGAGTATAAGCATAGTTTCCATTAACTTGCAACATGAAGTACGCATCCTTCCCATCGTGCACTACCTAGTAATGATGTCAGAAAAATCACTCAATCAAACACACATAGTGATTATTCCAAGCACAAAAAATAAACAGCCGTAATTCCATCTCGCACCTTGAGAGTCAGTTTACCGGCATCATACTCCTTATCGGCGTCTGGGTCTAGGGCAGGCAGCAGCGGGAAATCAGATCCCTCGACGCCATCCCAGTCGTCCACCTTCCCGTCGATGGTGATAATTCCGGGTCGGAACTCAGCCTGGACTCGGATCTCCGAGTTCGGATCGCAGTGCCATTCACCAACCTCCTCGTGCGAGCTCACTGGTTGGATCCGGTTCGGGCCGAGCAAGGCGGCTGTAAGGAGGAGGACGACGACTTGGTCCCGAAGCATCGCGAAGAAAATTCAAATGAACAGTGGCGTTTGATTTGCGCAATTTCTACTTATCATCTCCTTTCCGCGGGGGGCTTATTTGGTATCACAATTTGCATAA